TTTTGAAGGTCCCGGAGGCACCCCCCTCCCTACCCAGTTCCGAGCCGAGTGCACCCCCCAAACCTACTGCTCACTGCTGGCGACGTGCTCTCTATGAAAATTGCAGAAATTCAGCGAAATACTGTTTCCGTCGGCAACACTAGGGCATCCAATGAACTCCGTTTGTGCGTTTTGGTTATATACAAAAAAGTTCTGTTCTAGAGACCAAATAATGCAACCTTGGGTGAAGAATTTGCGGAGGGTAACTGTTGTCCTATATATATCCATAGATATACACAACACACGTTGTGTATATCCTTGATCAAGAAGCTACATATAACACGATANGAGAGAGAGAGAGAGAGAGAGGGAGAGCGAGAGAGAGAGAGAGAGGGAGGGATAGACAACGGAAGAGATTGATTGAAGGAGTCGGGAGACAAGCGCGTTTTTCCGCATACCTCCTGGTAACCTCCACGATGTACGAGCCAACCTATGGGTCATGGCAATATTTTACCGGCGATTTAGAGTCGGGGGCTCTACTACCGCTGCATGGATTTCTTTATCTCCCATCGCCGTGCCATCTCGCGTACGACGTCTAGCTTATATAGGCTAGCTTGCATTCACCCGGCAGTTTCAGCTAATCCCTGCAGTGTAGCGACTGCTTAACCCTTTACCCCGCTAATGTAACCCTTTACCCCGCTAATGTTGCACGCACACCGTATGCAGGTGTCCCGCAGTGCGGCGACTCCGTACCATACAGCGAGTTTACTGTGCGTGTATACGCCACCATAAGGTCTTCTGTGAGATGGTGGGCAATTAGTTAAGCGAGGCCACTTTCCCGTGCGGACAGGTTTAGGCTGGAACTACTGCGGGCTATGAGCGTACGTGCGTGTGTGTGTGTGTGTGTGTGTGTGTGTGTGTGTGTGTGTGTGTGTGTGTGTGTGTGTGTGTGTGTGTGCGTGTGTTTGTGTTTGTGTGTGTGTGACAAAGACACTCAGTCTTCGTTAAAGCGGTTCGTGTCCCACCGCCATGGGAAAGTTTTAGAAGTTGCTGTGTTCGTGCACAGAGTGGCGTGGTGTGTCGATGTTGATGGCTGGCGGTGCCTTTTTTGTGGAAAGTGGCCACTTTATCTCATTGACCCCCAAGATGTTGCTACACATAGAGAGGTGCATGCGCATCAATACACACCCGTGTAGCAATTGCTGGCATCTCTTATAAGAGACTGACTGAGTTCACACTGACCTGAGAAGATCAGTAATGGCAAGCGCTGCCTTGGAAAAGTAACAAATATCACATTTTCTCTCAGAAGTTGCTACACGGGTGTGTAAAAAGAGAGGTGTATACATCAGTGATGGGTGGGAGGACGATTGAGAGAGAGAGAGGCGCATTTCACCCTGTTATTTCTGCCTGCGCGTTTGTATACACGTAGCATGTATGTATTTACATAACGGCTTGCAGTCAAGCCGAAATTGGTTACATAAACAACTTATATTAACCCGACATCAATTTCTTCGCAACAATACGAAAAAGAAAAGAAAATGCGGTATGTAAGTTCATATAAATAGCGGGAGTTGACATTTTCAATGTATAAACATGAGAGACTGGCGCGAGGGGCGTGACAAGACTCGTTGAGAGCTCTGAATATATTGTCGGCAGTGAATATATTGTCGGCTGCATCCCGTGTGAGGGGAAGTAAATCAAACAGCGACTGAGCGAGTGCTACACAATAAATATGCTAATGAAATTCAGGTGAATTGACGGGGCCGCACGGCAGTTTACCTGTACTACCGACGAGAGAGAGAGAGCGAGGGGTGAGAGAGAGGGGAGAGAGGTGGAGAGGAGTTTTGGAGACAGAGCGAAACCGAAAGACACAGAGAAAGAGAGAAGGAGAGCGAGAGCGAGCGAATGAAAGAGACAGAGAAAAAAAGAGAGAGAGAGCGAGCAAAAGAGGCAGAGAAAGAGTGAGATATAGAGAGACAGAGAGAGCGAGAGGGCAGGCGAAGAGGAAGAGAGAGAGACACACAAGCTCACCACCGCCGGGCAGACACGCCCCCCACACGCACGACGCAGATAGAGAGAGCGAGCAGCTAGAGATAGAGTAGTAGAGAGAGAGAGGAGAAGAGAGAGAGGAAGACGGGAGAGAGAGGAGATGAGGCGAGGAGAGAGAGAGATCCAGTAGAGTGTATGAGAAGAGAGAGAGAGCGAGAGACGAGCAGAGAGAGAGAGTAGAGAGAGAGAGGCAGAGAGAGAGGAGGGCGAGAGCGGAGGCAAGAGAGAAGAGAGAGAGAGAGAGAGTAGAGAGAGAAGAGAGAGAGAGAGAGAGAGAGAGAGGTGCGAGAGCGAGAGAGAGAGAGAGTAGAGAGAAGAGTAGCGGAGAGGAGAGAGAGAAGGCGAGAGAGGCGAGAGAGAGAGGGGCGAGAGAGGCGATGAGAGAGAGAGCGAGAGATGGCGAGAGAGAGCACCTGCTTCCCCGGCGTGTAGTTACATCGCGTGTATGTATATAACACACATGTAACTTGTATAACACGCATGTAACTCGCGTGTAGACCATGCAGGGAGAAAACGCCCCACGCTTTACCGCCGCACCGCACCGCGCCGGCGTTCGCTCGCGGGCCTTTGTGTTGTGAGTTTTCAGACCATTTGCTAACGGCCGTAAACCTGTATTTTTCGTCCGCGAAAATGACACGGTGTGTCGATGAGTGGCAGCGGTACGTACGGGAGTATGTGCGTGCGTGCGTGCGTGCGTGCGTGCGTGCGTGCGTGTGTACGTGTGTGTGTATGTATGTACGGCGGGGGGAAGGTGTGAACAACACAGAGTGCGACATTTCTCGCGTTCTTTGATCGCTGTCTACTGCTGCGAGCGATTATACGCTGACACACTATACAGGTGTAAATAACCGGGCTGGAGAGAGAGAGAGAGAGAGAGAGAGAGAGCAGGGAGAGAGAGAGACAGAGCGAGAGAGAGAGAGAGAGAGAGAGAGAGAGAGAGAGAGAGAGAGAGAGAGAGAGAGAGAGAGAGAGGTGGGGAGAGAAGAGAGGGAATATATAAAA